TTTCTTGATTGTTATACTGATGATAATATAAAATTTTTATACTTTTCTGTAATGTATCAAATCAACTGCAATATCTATAGATTTCTTCTTGTGGAACTTGTAAGTGCTCTCGAGATTCCATCGTAACTCTGCTACACAACGTGCCTAGAAACATGAAAATAACAGTTGTTACAGTTTCAGAGTGACAAATCTACTCCTCCTTACATTTGCATCATCCCATTTATTGGCTGTTTTAAGGATGTAATCTCGTGTAGAAGTTTTATGTAATGAAAACAGACTACCACCAGGCAATAGCATCATAAGACCGGCTCGAACAAATTGCATATCCATACCTGTGAAACTGTTCTTGTAAAGCGGTTGCAGAAAAAAGGAGTACAGATCACAACTCGTTTTTTGGAAACCTGACAAGAAGTATACTTCACTAGGCAAGAGATTCTGGGGTACAGAAACCGCTGACACTCCTCAGTTCTGTGATTGTGTTTCTTTGTTTAAAATGCTCTACCATTATCGAAAAGAGGAGTGGAATTGTGAAATCAAATGACTTTTCGTTATTGCTTGGAGAATTGGATACGACAAAAATAAAAATAAAAAAAAGACGTGCCGAAGAAAATTGACTGTAGGTCGGAAAGGTGGATCTTTAAAACCAAGTATTGGTCCGTCAAACCTTATAATGGAAGACTTCAAGGCCCTTGACCGATCGTTGAAGAAATAGCATGTTAGGTAAGGTTTTTTAAGTGAGTTTGATTTCAATCTCCTGCCACCTAACTACTTTTATCATCTAACTTACCTTCGTTCTTTTTGGTCCCAAATGGAGGGTTCATAATAACAACATCAAAGTGACCATGAAGAGCACTTGGTATTTGAAGTACATCAGCCTTTATAAGATCACAGCTGCAATGTCTTTGCATCCATTTGCTAACCCTGATGAAAAGAAAGCATAATGAGTANTCGAGAACATACCAGGATTCCACTCCGAGTTCTTCGAGGTTCCCTTTACAGATTGAAAGTGCATATTCATCTATATCGACTCCTGAAAAATGTAATGCTGATGATACCTTGTTTTGACTACATGCTGTTCTTGGAAATGGAATGACAGCTTAAGCGAAAGTCGTCATACACGACGAGCCAATCGTAAAACCGTTCATTTCCATTGTCTTGACGCTATGTTTGAAGCCTACTGTATTGTTCTCTTTTTCTGACTCTAAAAGCGATGCTGTAATGATATAAACGTTGCCGAGAAGGCTGTATTTTGATTATCATGTAATTCACTCGAAACTTTGTATGGAATGGAAATATTCGGTCTATGAACTCAAAAGCGTGATCGAGATGACAGAAACAACCCGTTTACCCTCTAGATAATCCCATGATGTTGTCAGAAGTATTGACTGCAGCCTTCATCCTACAAATGGAGGAACGCGAGATACGCCGAGGAAGCGGAACATCGCACCCCTGCATGTGAATATGCTCCTAACTTCGCTCCACCACCAACCAAGTTTTAGATGCCTCCAGCGGGAGTTCGGAAGACTATCCTCAACGGCGTAATTTTCAAATCGAAACAACAACTCATTGAAGGAAATGCCAGTCCAGTTCATTCGAGTTCCGGGAATCCATGTCTGTCTTCTGACATTTCAGAATTTTGTCCTTGGCAAGACTCGAGAAAACGAAGATAGTGCCTGGGATCATTTCAATTCCGAAAAAGTTCAATCGAAAGAGAGAGGCATCTATAAGGGCGTCGTAAACTGCAAAACTACTCAAATCGTTCAATGGTAACACTTGTCAGAGCCTTTTTCACGTCGGAAAACTTAAAAAAGAAAGAGTAAACTGAGCTTTTTTTGTGACATACACAATTCCCAAGATGACCCAAACCTGTGGCCCAATTTTTGTTTGAAATGGTACGTAGGAAGCTCGATGGTTAGCAACCTATGTAATCAGTTTACTAAACTTGATTGTTGTTTTGCAAACACCTTAGGAATTCGCTCAGTCAAAACATAAGGAGTACCTACTACGGCAGTTGGTTGATGTGCAAGTGCAACAGCTGACATTAGCATTCCACATCCACAACCGAGATCAGCAACAAATTTTCCGTCAAGTCCAACGAGGCGGTCAATACTATCCACAATTGCAACTGAAGTCAATCATGATAAGTGTTGTTCATAGAAGATTAAAACAGCTGCAATAGAAGATCACAAAAAAGACAAATAAAACCAACTGGCTAGTTCGGGAGAAGTAGCGTACTGTTCCAACTTGATGTTCGGATTTTCAAAACTCCGTAAATCCGACAATAACCATTCCATACGCTTGGGCTTCATTCTCAAATACGTCTTTTAATCATATTACCGATTTCACCGGGTTCACTCACAAAATCTAAGTGGACGCACAAAGCTGTCGGAACAAAAAACTATCTATGGTAAAAATGGGTTTTGTGAAACCACTCAGTTCCTCTCTGCTCTATCGGTCATTACCTTCACACTAACTTTCACATGTGACAAGGTTTACCCTCTTGAAACTTCACCTTAAGGCAAGAGCGGTCGATCCCTTGCTCATAATCGTTTTTGCCCCGTTCGATACAACCGGGATTCCATCCGCTGCTCCGTTCTAATCCTTAGCATAAAAGAGGACACAGAGGACAATGCAGTGCTCCCTACAACTCCATTCTCACTAACTATTCTCGCAAAATACGAGGCATTTCAATAGTATTTACATCCCAAGGACGCAAGGAATTTGAAAAACAACTATTGCTCTGGCTCCCAACGTGTTGGGTTACGTGACTACTTGAACTTTCTCTGCATCTCTGACGGCAAGAGGCTAGAGCCCAGAGAAAANGGGAGTGCGCCAGACAAGGGCAGAAAAATGACGCATCCGGCAAATTTAAAGGAACCGAGTTCAAGTAGTCCGTAGGCCAAGGGTTTGATGTGTCAAGGAATTACTAACAACGTATATTTTCCTACCACAACTGAAACATCATCAATGCGAGTCATCATTCAATGGGAGGAAGAAGACCCGACCTGGATTCCATGAACATATTCTTACAGTTCAAAACTGACTACCAATATGATTTGGTGAATGATGCCATTGCTTTCTGCCCTCAACTACGATGAATGCATATCCATTCGTGAACCCGAGCTCTTTTCAGAGTAGACGGTGTTTGAGAATCGAGTTCAAGAAAACCTTTCTACGAATGAATAGGAAAGCTCGGGCCGACCGTGATGCTTGGTTCTGATACGCATGGAGATCAGATCGGTTCATTATTCGTGCTAGAACTCCTATTTTTATGCGTTGAGTGTAAAGAGTCCCCATCAAATACTACTCGAGGCCGTACTATTGTTTCAAAAAGGCATATATAGTAAGTTGATGCATAATTATTGCGGATTTTTTCGCGGCCTCTTTTCTCTCGACACAACTTGAATATTGAATTCAGAATTGAATAGAAATAATCTTTTTACTTTCCCTAATAGAAATATGTCTAGAAAGTCATTTTCATATACTATACATTATGCCCTATTACTTCGAGAAACGTTGGAAGGTGGCGCAGTCATAAAGTAATCTCAACGAACTTCACGGCGATGGAAAGTCAGCCAAACCCGAATAAAGAATGGAAACTGCTTCTACGATCGCCCTATTCACCAACAGAAACTCCTATGGACCATCATGTCAATCGCCCGTTGAAAAATTGGTTAACGAACAGAACTTTCGAAGAAATTGATGGCTTGATGGCCAACGTCAAGGTGTGGATCGCTTCTAAGAAACGGGGCTTCTCCCGCGGAATTCGACTGCCTAGCAAATGGGAAGCAGCGCTTGACGGAGATGGTGGACATGTCCTTGAGTAATTACTTGAACATGTCGTTGCTAAATGTTTCTATCGTTTCTTCGAGTAAAATTTGCTGTGTAAAATCCGCAATATTTATCCATCAACCTAATAATACCTACCTGTACCCTAGAGAGACGTCACTCCCTTGTCCAGTGAGTTGGGATGGCTCTCTGGGGTGGAAATCTAACTCTCTGGCTGAATGAGTGTACTTTTATGTTTGCCGGGATCTTAATCACTTAGCCACGATCAGGAAAGGCTAACTTATTGGTTAGAGAAACATTGCAAATCTATTCTTCTACAATGACGCTACTGTATCAAACATTGTAAGTATGGCGAGTGACGAAGTATGACCAAGTTGAACTTCCCCGTCCCCTATAATCTTAAGACCTTTCTCCAGGACATCACCCCATCGCTACCCTTCGATGGCATTTGGAGAGGTGAAAACTAACACACAAGGGCGTCCAGAGAGGAGGATGGACTTGGCACAATGAGGAGGAAATTTCGTGAACGCGAACTTCCACATGGCCTTTCGTTTGTTGCGTCTCAGAAAAACAATTATGGAGAAGAACTGAAAGAATTTTATAAAAGCAGATCAGGAAAAATCAGCAGCACTCAGTGAACACGGTGTTGGCCTCTTATGAATCTACTATCCTATCGTATCAAGAAATTGGAGAAGCGGGACTCCTATGACCTCGATGGGTCCAGGACGGGGATAATTCCCCGAAGTTTGAGTTGAATGCCGACATTTAGCCTGTGTGATATTGTATTATTCACTAATTTACTCTTCTGAATGGCCCTCGATGAATTGACGTAAACATGAGAAAAATGCGAAAATATATTTCTAATACTAATACTACTACTAACTAATAATTATTACCACTTCCGAGCTTATCGAACCTTACAGGAGAAGCTGTCACAGCGTCTTCATGACAGCTTTTCTGACATTATACCAATAACCTTCCCTATGGTAATCGTTGGCACTGAATAGGAAATTTTGTGGTTGTTGGGACATCCGACTTCAGCTGTTTCATAAATAAATGTTCGATCTACGGGCCTGTGCAAAGCATTCAAGCGCCCAGCTCATTATATGAATCAAGAGCATGATGAGGGTGAACTTGTCCATATCTGCAGTTTGAATGCCTCAAGAAATTCAGCCGTGATTCTCACTTCAGTTTACTTCCCTATCAAGTCGAAAAATACTATCAAGTTAGGAAAAAAAACTTATAATTATTTGATTAGCTCTAACATGGCGTTCGGAAATGATTAGCCTGAAATGACACAGGAAACAAATGTTTGTGATGTTTCCAACTGAAATTGAGCTCAAACTTGTCACAAAGTCACTGTTATATCATAGCCACCAATCTGCTTTTCGGTTCCGGACAAGTAGTTTCGATCTGCACTACGCAGGTCTTCAGATGGATTTCAGCCGCGAAGAAGGGGGGAGGGGGAGCTTCGGAGGGTTCTTGTTGATAGGCGACTCAGCTTATCAAAAAGAAAGGGGGTTCCAAAGCAATAGCACAATGAAGATCCGAAATACATCAGAAGTTCTGGTGCTCTTAGCCCAGGGGGCAGCAAGTATTTCCAAAGCCACAATATATCGAAATCGAATCGCTATTTACATTCTAAAATCACTAGATATCGGGATTAGATCGATTTTCAAGTATCATATCGAGAAGTCTTTCACATGTCTTATGTTAGTAGAGTGAATGTATGTTTATCTGGGAAAGGCTGGTGTAATGACAAGTAGCGCACCATCTTGCACGCATGGTAATTGTTTGAATCTCGCTTCAACACTCGCCTACGCCAACCAAGCCTTCCATCGTTTCAAGATCGTCCAATAGTTCTTGCTTGAAAAGATAGTAATACTGACTTATACATCGACCGGTCATTTAAAGCCATTGTGTAGGCCATAGACGCGTTCAAAACGTCTCTACGATTCTGAATGGAAGTCGAGTGCGGAGCGCACTTCAAAATGGCATTCATTACTCTGAAAGACTTTATACTTGCTTTTCATTCGGGAATTCATTGGAAATAATAATGGTGAAAAGGGAGGATCGCTTGGCCAAATTCGTCCACACGTTGAACCTTCATATAAGTTGTCTAGGGTTCTGAGTTGTACTTTGAAACGCTACGCAACACGACGGAATCATTGGTATGCCATACCTAATATTACCAGCGGCGCTCCGCACACTGACTCGTGCGTCACAACAAAGAACGTCACATCTGAAAAAGTGAATTTTGCACTCGAGCTGTACTCTTCGAGACTCTAGTTGAAGACCGTGGGGGAGGGGGGGGGGGGGGGGGGGGAGTGGTGGGTTATAAGTTCAGGTAGAAGTACCACACACATTGACAGCGTGCGAGCCGGCTTATCTTGGGCCAAAAGTTCCTTGTCGATCTTGCCCTAGCTCCGACTATGGCAAGCATGACTCGACCTTTTCAGATGTTTTTTCAATTTCAAGACAGATGGAGAGGCAGACAGAAGCGAAATGCAGATGAACCGAATTGTCGCTAGCTGGGACGTGAATTAGGAAACGGGATTATCATCGGCAAGTATACTAGTGTAGTATACGGCACACTGAATAATTGGGGACGTTTATTGACCGAATTCACCAGACTAGGATTGAGAACGTGGAATACTTTTTCCCGAAAAAGAAAGGGTCGTTTATGGACTCGGCGGGGACCCAATGGAATGGTGTATAATCAGATTGGCTTCATATGCTCTATTCCGTCTACAACCGTTTTCAAATGTGGAATCGCAAACAATTTCCTGTTCGATTCTGATCATCGATTGGTTCGCAAGCAAATGGTTATTCGTAAAAACACTAGCGACAATTCAGTTCATCCGTATTTCGCTTCTGTCTGCCTCTCCATCTGTCTCGAAATTGAAAAAAACATCTGAAAAGATCGAGTCAAGCTTGGCATAGTCGGAGCTTAGGGCACGTTCGACAAGGAACATTTGGCCCAAGGTGAGCAGGCTCGCACACTGTCAATGTGGGTGGTACTTCTACCTGAACTTTATCCCACCACATTCTTCAACTAGACTCTTGAAGAATACAGCTCAAGTAAAAATTTCACATCTTTTTAGATGCATTCTTTGTTGTGTGATCTAGATTCATTCACGCATCAGTGTGCGGAGCGCCGCTGGAAATATTAAGTACAGCATATCAACGATTCCGTCATGATGCATAGCGTTTCAAAGTACAATTCAGTACCCTACACAACTTTTGTATATGATGGTTTAACCTGTGGATGAATTTGGCCAAGCGATCCTCCTTTTTGGCCATTGGTATTTACGATGAATTCATAAATAAAAGGCAAGGATAAAGTCTTTCAGGGTAATGAATTCCTTTTCGGAGTGCGCTTCGCAGTCAACTTCCATTCAGAATCGTAGAAACGTTTTAAACGCGTCTGTGTCATACACAGTGGCTTTGAATGACCAGTCGATGTATAAGTCAGCACTTCTATCTTCTCAAGCGAGAATGATAACCATTGGGCGATCTT